ATTATTATTATTATTTTTTTTTTCAACAAACAAGTGCAACAAATTATACGATGAAAAGCAGCAGCGAGAATAAATATCACGTGCGGTCCCTCGTAACACAAAAATACACATGTACGTGCGCACACAACGCGAACCCTCCTTCCTATCTACTTCCCCCACCCTCTCGTTGCTTTCGTATGTTTCTATCTTCCGATAGATACGTGTATGTCTTTTGCCAAAAAAGCTTGCAAGCACGCAAGAGAAAGAAATCAACAAACAACACGCACGCACGCACGCACTCCCGATCTGGCAAATCTGGCAGCTCACCTCCCTTGGGTGGCTCGGGCCCCGCGAGTCGCACGGGCCGGAGCAGCTGTCGGGTCATAGTCTCTCACCTCGTTGGGGTAACTGTTGACTCGCGCCGGTGGGCCCCACGGGCTCGTTGGCTTGCCGGAGCTCGGGGGGCGTCATCGTCCCCGTGCAGCTCCTCGCCGAGTTTTCCTGACCCACTGACACCGAGGCGTCGTTCCCCCTTTCCCCCCCCCCGGGCCGCCTCCCTTTCTTCTCTCTTTGCCCGCACCCTCGCGGCTCAGCTGGATTTCCGGGACTCGGTCTCGAGGTGCAAAACACACTGTCGTTCGATGAAAATGTCGGGCTTGGACTCGCTTGCGCCCCACACAAACGGACGGAAAGTTAAACAGAGAGAGAGAGAGAGAGAATCGCGACGTTATACAGCCGAGTGGCACAAGCCTATATACGGCGCGCACCTCCAGGCACCTCGGAAAAATGTCCTCCTTTACTCCCTCGCTGCACCCTCGCCACCCGTGTATCCACCACCACCACGTCTACTCCCACTCCCCTTTCCCGGTGCAGTGGCGAGGCAGACCTTCGAGAAAAGCGCAGGATACACATGTATACTCGGGTAGCCAGAGCTGAACGCGGTGAACTTGCACTTGCATACATATAGCGCACGCACACCTACACCCGCACGATCCGACGTTCCACTGAACGGGGCTGCACTTGCTCGTGGGGTGAAAATACGTACACGCCCCCACATACATACACACAGGGTGCCACGCGCATGTACGCAGCGCGATGTTTTACGGAGTCGTTCGTCGGCTTTGGAATCGAGAGATGGCGCCTTGATCGAGTCCCCGGTAGGGGATGGAGCCCTACCCTTGGGATGGGATTGTGTATACATGAGCCACCCTTCGAGCAAGAGGCAGCGCTTGCAGTGACATCCATTGGGGAAAGCTGCGCAACACCCCTGCCGTCCATTGGACGATTGATCTCGAGCAGACCTTCGTCTTTTATTCTTTTTGTTGCGCATCAGCTGAGCTTTCTGAAGTTTTTTCACAGGCACGCTCGCCCAAGTGTCGATTGACAATCCGCCCCCCAGCTGCTTATTTGGATGTACACTTTTCGAGTGCGGTGCAATCTAAACTCGATGATCCGACTTTTGCACAAGTCACAGTTTACACTCGATAACGTCTCCTTTTTGACGTAACGATTGTTCATTACGAAAATCATTGAATTAACGCTGAACAATCGGAACAAGCAATCATAGTATTTATTTGGAGGAGAAAAAAAGAATGTACAAATTAATCTTGAAAAAAAGGTGATTATGTTTATACGTTGAAACCTACACTGAACGAAAATTGATTTATTTTATTTATCCGTCATCCGCAACATTAGCAATCATAGTTGTTGTTGTTGTTGTTTTTTGTCGTCGATGCTGTAACTATTTGTTCATTGCAAAGGAAAAGGGGGAAGAGAGAGAGAGAGAGAGTAGCTGATGGCTAGGTGACTGACCAGTGTAGGTATGTTACACGGGGTGCGCGCGTGGCCTAGTCAGCTTTAAATTACAAGTCCAGCAACTAATCAATACGTGGAGTCGTACACGCGTGGCGATGCCTGTGCAGCTTTTGTCGCTGCTGGTGGTGGTGTTTCTTTACGTGTCTTGGTAATGATGCGTGTCGCCAAAGAGAAGCGGGTCTCGGTTCCTTTGAAAGCGAGAGTCATTCTCCTCTCTTGTCTATCGCTGGCAAGTGGCCGCCTCTCGTAAGGGTTGACCGCACTACGAAAAAACCTCCCGCTTTTTCACGAGGATTGACCTTGTTCCCCCTATCACGCTTACCCATTCTCGGCTGATTCTTCCTGTCCTCCCTATCCTTATGTGTTTATTTTTTTTCCTTCCAAAACTACTGCTCTTTTTTTATAGACTTCTCGTGCACGAAAAAGATTGTCAACTTTTTAAGGCTGGTCACGACCTTAACTCTTTCCCTTTTTTTTTTTTATTTCACAGCTGCAAACAACTAATGCGGTATTTTTGTTCTATATTTTTCATCCTTGTACATATTATGGATTACACGTGTTTTTACTCAGGATATTTTTATATTGTCATCACCGACGCATAACATATCTGGATGACTTTCGAGTCTGGCGTTTTGTTAAGATCATATTGGTATTCTTCAAAATCAATATTTTCACTCGTTCATAGTGCTACATTACTTCAAATATCTTTTGCCACCGTTTCATCCCATCAACACGATGGCTGTGTTGATCATGTAAACCATAGTAATGTTACAAATCTTATGCATACACGCATATTATCGATTTACGAACATTACGAGCATACCAGCGAAAGTGACGTTGTTAACTGCTGGTAAGTGATGAAGAATAAAAAAAAAGGTCAGACTTTTCGTGATTTTCCAAGTGTTCGGTTGAGTTAGGGCAGCTTTTGTTTTTCCTTCCACCATTTATGTCAATTTTTTTTTTTTTTTTTTTTTCTTAAAAAATACATAAGCATAGGTGTTTGCTTGCTTTTTTTGTGTCACGACTGTTACCGAGTCCTGATTCTTACACTTTTTTATTTTGTTTGGACAAGCTATTGTTTCATGTATCGATTTTTTGAAATACTAGCTTAGCTGGGCTCAACAAGTTTTCCGTCATGCACGTAGATGGCGTATTGTAGCTATGGTTAAAATGTACAAGCAACAAATGACGTCGCATTGTCTTATACCTGTATGGATGTGTGGACACACCTATACATATGTATTATTTGTATCTCGTCAGTGTGGCATACGTACATGCGAGTCTATTTTTGAATTACAATTAAAAGTGTAATAAAATATTCGTGCACATGTACACGAAATTTCGTAACCATATAATATCATACGTGACTATATGAACGAATTATATGATTCTTTGTTTCGTTGGAGAAACAGAATCCGTTGTTCCGTTTCTGTTACGCAGTCCACAATTCCGCTCCTGCAGTCCAATATTCCGTTCTTACCATACACCACTGCTCAATTCTCTCTTGCAAGCACGTGCTAACACGCACTGGATAGGTGGAGCAAAAAACTGAGAATACGAAAAAACCGCAAAAAATAAAAAATTGCTTTGTAACGTACTTATACTCTCACGCGCGAGTGAATTGCATATCTATAATGGCAGACTATTCGATAACGGTAAAAAACCAGTCTCAAAAATTATTTTAAAAATTAATTCAAAAAGTAATCAAAATGTGTCTTTGATATTATTATTATTATTTGTTTTTTTAGTGTCATTTATTGAGCATCTTTCAAGAAAAACCTACACGCACGAGAGTAGAGTCATTTTATTCGAGGTTCACAATGCCTGACCAGTCATGACTGTAACTACTGTCTTACCATTGCCAAATTTAAATGGAAAGTTATCTATGGTCTTCCTGGTAACAAAAGCATAAGAATCGGCATGAAAGTAAATAGCAACAAGTTTGAACAATCTACTATATATTCTATATCGACTTGGTCCATAGATAAATTAATAGCCCTAGTAATTTCGGGAATTCGTATATCTCCTCATTAGTAATAGTAGCAATTGCAGAAGTCAATTTATGAAAATTCGTGCGCCCTTATAATATGCTGCAAATAGTATCTTATGATGAAGGTACTGCCTAATTATATAAAAAACGGTTTTTTGCGATTAGCTTTCAACTTGATTTAACTACTCTAGGACTAAAAATACCCATTTTATTAGTTGCCATGGCTAGAAATATCCAAAACCACCTTCTATCCTTGCATCCCTACAGCGAGGCCATTATATTGGGCTCCAGCTTGGCTTGCGCTGCAGGGACGAGATAAAGATCGAGTATTGTACACAGTTAGCGGTACCGGTTTCACGGATGCAGTGTCAACTGGTGCTGCTGCAAAGCCTCCTACGGATAAAGAAGCGAATGCAATACAACCGAGCTAGAGAAACAGATAATCAAAATTTTCTTAATTCACGAGAGTCTCGGATATTATCGTAGTTCAATACACGAAATGTCATTAAATAGTTTTTACTGGATGCTAATGTTCAAACGGTAGTTGTGCACACTCACTCAGTAGTGAATATCGTGCTGATCCTAACATTACGTATCCAATATGGTATAAAATTATCATGTACTTATGACATGCTCCATCCTGGTGATTGAAAGATTATTTAACGCTTCATACACCTTTTGATACATAAACACCATTAAGTCGACAAATCAAAGGGTTACAAACTGTTGTGTCAGTTCTAATAGAGCGGGCACATTTTTTTTAAATTGCACTAAATAAAAAAAAAATTATTTAAAGTACTAGGGTTGATGAAGTTCAGGTTTGTTGAATTAAGCAAGTCACCATTCGTATGGTGCGGTATTTCGTTCAAAGTGCAATTCGACGCTTATTCGTTGTAATAATTGAAACACGTGCAAGTCATACGCGTGCACGTGAGCTGAAATTCGTTGATGTTGCAAAACCATGTCATCGGCGTTGGATCCCGGATCGACCCAGTGCCGAGAACCCCGGTGCGGTTGAAGCATCGAGTTGGCAGAGAAAAAGCGTATGTAACGGTGAAGCCCAACTTCTCTATTTCTCTGCATCTTTCTTCTTCTCCCTCTTCTCGCGGCTTGGCTCGTCTGGTGCACGTAGGTAGGTATATACACGCAGCTCGATTCGTTGGCTGGAAGCTCGCCTGTGGAATAGCTGTTAAAGTTTCGCCCACTACGCGGAGTAGAGAAAGTCCGCTGGTGCGCCGTTATAACGAGACTCTCTCTCTCTCTCTCCCTGCCTTTTTATTCGCCGTCCTCTCCTTCTTCTTCTTCGTTGAACGGGCTGTACGGGCACCGTTACCTCGACGTGCACAGCTGTTTCTAATGGTTTTCTTTCTCCCTTTGTACCCACTGCTGCGCTTCTTCTTCTTCTCCACGAAGCACGTGTCTCGTGCATGCGGGTGAGTGTGCCCATGCGCGCGCTCACGTTCATAGTACTGTGGGAAATCGTGTGTTAAAAATACTGGGCTTCACGATTAGGAAGTATGAGACTTTAGGGCCTTTCGACAATCTATTCGCGACATCTGCTGTTGCATACTACGATGCAAAGCTTTTCTCGTCTAATCCTGTGTACGATTCGTGTAGCTTTGCATACCTGCTTTTCATAAGGAGGTGATGATCAATCGTTTTTGGAGGGATTTTTGGCTAGCGCCTGACA